CTCCCTAGCTTTGTGTTTTTCAGATAACATGTAAATATGCGTAAGCAACTGGCACTCTGCTTTCCATTTCGTTCATTTTTTCAAGTCCCCCAGCTTTTTGGAATTGGATTTTTTTTTTGGAAGTTATCGAAACTACAATTCTGACCAGACCTTTAATGCAAACTTTTGTATTAGACAGTATTTGATACTGCATACTATACTTTTTGGTTGGTAAAAAAAACAAAAAAAAAAACACACACCCCTTCCTGGAAAGTAGTAAAGAAGCCAACACAAGCAAAACAGAAGCTATTCCACCAGTGTATGAATGTGTGTGAATGTTAGTTTCTGTTTGAGCACTTAGGCTCAGTGTATGAATGTGAGTGAATGGTGAATGCGATGTAGTGTGGTCGCAAAGACTAGAAAGGTGCTATACAAATACGGAGCATTTACATTTAGTCTTTTTAAACATAACATCAGCATCTGGAGCAATGGCACAAAGATGGGGAAGTACCATAAAATGCAGTGCATCTATCTCCCGAATCTGCAGAATGTATCGGAACTACTTCAGGTCGACATGAAGTGCAACAGTAGGATGACCAATAGTCAAGTTACTCTGTGTATGTAACTGCAGCCAGTTTCCTAGCACTCCTTCCTTTTTGTCTCTTTATCCTTTATTTCTCTACATCTCGCACTCAAACATAATCCACCACTGTGGATTCAGACGGAGATGGCAGATGTGATATTTTGAAGGGGCCAATGTTGTTTGGAGGCTGCTTGGTGGAGGCCATGTCATAATGAAGCAATGCAGCTGCGGCAAAGATGCCTGGGAGGGATCACAGGAGATCAAGGAGCCCACCGTCAAAGAAGAACACCTTGCCCTTGACAGCCAGCTTGTGGGAGTCGGCTCATCGCGGCACAGCACAACAGCAGATAAATACCAAGTTCGGTTTAGCATACACATGAGCCCTCACTCTCTGTGAGTGTGCCCTTGTATAGTGTGTGGAAGGTGTGCTTGTAAGGCGGTGAACATAACTAAGGTGGGGATGGTGAGTGGGGAGGACGGCCTGACACTCACCTCACAGGGGGCCAGGGAGTCTCTGATGGATCAGAATGTAGAAAGAACTCAGCCATGAGTGCATGTACAGTACGTGTTTGTTCCAACAGCTGAGGTCAAACAAAAAAAGTACTACAACTGCACAGCAGACCGGCACAAACAGTTTATGATATGCCATAACATCTGAAGAAGATGCAGCTAATGCCGTTTTATTATATATTTATGTATATTCATTCAAAAAAAGCAGAAAGGGCATTACAGCAAACTTTGTCTGCATAGTTCATATCAAAAGTAGGCATTAAACACAAAGATATTTTAGAATAAGAATTTGCAAATTAAACTTTGCCATTCTAACCAATTATGTTGATGCTTTAAATTTGTTTTATATATGAAACAAACTCAGGAATACACAAGTCCTCATTTCCCATCAGCTTATCAAGTTCTTATGGCCAAGGTCTCAGCAAATAATTGTCTACTTCCAGCAGACACAGAGAAACATTAGAGAAACCATTTTTTAAAGTTGTTTCTGTCCACCTGATGTCAATAATCTCTTTCATTTTAGCTCCGGTTTTGGTTTCACCATCTCTGGAGCCAATGCATACTTTAGCTGTAGAAGCCCTGGCAGCATATCATTTGTTTTGTTTGTTTGTTTTTTTAAACTCATCTGACAAAGGGGTCTGCCTACATGTTCAGTCTGTGTTTCAAATGGTGTTCTCATTCAGTCCATGATGTTAAGTGTTTTATGATAATTTAAGATACTGCACTAGGGTCTGCTGTCAGCATGTCATTATCACTGAGTTGATCCTCACAACTCATCCCCATGTTTGAGTACTGTGGCACCATATGTTTTCTAGTATGTATTTAAATCTTGGTATTAAGGCATTAAACTGTGCATTAAAGTTACTTCTACGCAGTGGTAGCTGTTTAAGGGGCAGGGGGGAAAAAAAGAAAAAAAGGGCACAGCTGTATGTGGTGCAGTAGTTGGCAATTTCTCCACTGGAATGGCTCCCTAAAGGGCAATTCATCAAGTTTTCTCCACTGGAAGGGCACCCTAGAGGGAACTTCATCACATTCAAATTGTATGAAAATTTCAGAATCAGAATCACAATGTTTTTTTCAGATAATGTTTAGAGTTGGATTTATTTAATGACTATGTGGTAAATCTATTTTATTAAAATTCAAAATAAAAATAGAGCATTTCTTTCTCTGCTTAAACTCTCTCTCTTTTCATCAAAAGTTGGAGAATGCACCTTTATTCAGTGCCAACGTGTGGGAGTCGAGTTACATACAAACACACACACACGGCACAAGCTTAGTATAGGTCAGGCTTGGGGGCGGAGTTAGACACTCAGCACAGTGTGGGTGGAGCTTCATCACGGGGCCCTCACTCTGAAAGTCCACCTTGTCTGTTTGCATCGTGGCTGCCGGAGCTGATCGCAGCCACTCTAGTCAATGCTTGTGCTCACACTAGAAGTGTCTCTCCGCTCCTCTCTGGAGAGAAAATGCAGCCATTTTCAAAATAAATAACAGCTACACTCCATGTCAGTGTTAAAGCCAAATAATGCTTGTCATCTAACACGTTTGCCTTGTTCCTGTGTTTAAGACAGCAAGCACTGGAGTTTGATAGATCTATTTTGTTTTTTATAGAAGTGATTACACACATACTTCCTTAAATAATACTCACACAAAAGTAAAACCCTTCCCTGCTCTTAAACCTCAGACTTCTAATACTCAAACTAATGCTTTCCAATATGCACTTTCAGAATGCCCAAACTGCTGTCTCCTACAAAGAGTTGTTTACTTTATTTTGATTTGCACAATTTGGAGGAAACATAATTGCTGCCTGATTACGTTCACTGGCATATTTTTTTTCTAATCCATGAAGTGTGGCAACTTTATACAGAAGTCATAGGGAGGATTTCAGAGAGCCACCAGTGACCATAGTTGATGACCTGCATCATGCAAAATTTACACTATTTACACTACACTATTAGGTGTAGTCTCCTGAAATTTTTGGTTATGGTAAGGGAATAATTGTGGTTTTGGCTAAATACTGAAAAAGTGGGGTTACGATCACAATCTTTTCCTAAACTTAACTTGAACTTAAGTGCTTTTTTTTGCCAAAACCTAACCATAAAAACTTTAATCATGCTGTAGTTGCCAGAAGTTAAAATGGTAAGTAAACTTTTAAAATTGATCGATATAAACATTTTACAGAAATCTATATACGCTTGTTCTCGTTAAATCGTTTTCCATCACAACCAATATTCTCATAAAAATTACTTTCACATGAACAGACATTTTATGAGACAGGGTTGGAAAACTAATTAATGAATTTGTAAGTTCACAAATTTCTGTACACATTGAACTTACAATGTAATGCTACTGTCATATAGTTACAGAGGTCTACTGTACTGTATGCTATACTGAGGTCAAGATTCTAAAAACAGAGGCTTAAAACACACACAAAAAAACCCCCAACAACACAAAGACAACTGACAAGACAGAGAAACTGAATATGTCCAACTGAACACAGCTAATTAGAGCTGTGACACGATAATTGGACAGGATAAGAATAAACAAAAGGTCATTAAATGTTTAGGGAAATGAGCTACTTTTATTAAAACAGACATGCTGGAAGTGAAACATGTTTGGAAGATTGTATTAACCTCATTCTGTATTAATGCTACTGTAGACATGTGGGTCAAACTTAATGCAGCTCCCTGGAAGTGCAAGTAATGTAAGAGGATATTAATTAATGTTATACAACTGTACTGCTGCTTCCATTCACATGGTTTGGTTAAACTACACATTTTATGATATTTGTCTTAATTTATCAGCTTTTTCTTCCAACTACGGCTTGATTAAATTATTCCAAATGTAAATGATATGTCAAATGTCTATCTAATTTTGTAACTACTTGCAAAATGAACCCGTAAAGCTGACATCAATAAATGCCTCACTGGGATTGATTTTCAAGTCATCTGATCACATCAAACTGCTTTAGACTATAATTAAACGCATACCATATCAATCACATAATGGTTGCGCTGAATGACTTCTCTCTTGCAGCAGCACAGTGTCTGCTACCAGCTAGTGCTCTGACAGACATACGATAACCCCTTAGATGAGTTATTACAGACATGATTTTTACAGCTACAACTGCACTTTATATCAACAGCAGGAAGGTAATCTGGAATGTTTAGTGAAAATGTAACAAGACACACTTTTACAGACAAATTTACAGACAAAGACAATTTTAGGTCTTGCAATGTCTTTTCAGTGAGAGTTAGTCATCATTTATGAGTACTCTGCAAGCTGTCATTGTTTCAAAAATGTCACTAAGATGGATTCTTGTTATATAATATATTATGTTAAGTTAAAGTTGTTTCTTAAAGTTATTTATAATGCTGCTGCATTCATGCCATGCTGGAAAAATTGGAAACCCTCTTGTTATTACGACTTGGGAGCATTTAGAAATGATTTCAAGGGAGGTTCATGTTACATTTTTGTGGTGGAACGAACACTGACCCTGTATTCATTCACTGACAGCCAAAATACTGTACAAACAAACAAACTCCAAATCAAAACTACTGTCTGGAAACAAAGCCAAACAAAAACAGCATAACAATAGTCCGATAAGCCTGTTAAATTCATGTTGATATCTAATTTTGTGTCACAGAAGACTCTCAAATGCAAGCTGCATTGTTGCAAAATGAAAGGGGAAAAAAATTAAAATTTATATTGAAAATTGGCTGCTTTAAATAAGGCTTTTAATGAAACATGTGTATAAATGGCTTTCAGAGTTTGAGACCGTGGCTCTTTCCACATCAGCGTTGTTTTCCTCAAATCAAAACAAAAAATATTTACTTACCTAAGAAAGGACACTTGTGTACAAAAGGACACAGCTTAAATAAAGATGATGACACACATGACAGTGATGTAAGTCATAATGTACAATACTCACGTCTCATGTCTCTGAAGTAAATTGTCTGTCGGTTGGGGTTGAGCAGCTGGATAACGGAGTCGTCATTGTTCTTCACCCGACAGCTGATGATCGCCATCTCGCCCTCCACCACCGACACATTGTCTGTCACCAGGTTCTGACTCACCACTGGACAGGACAAAGACAAGAACACATAGATTACTACTGTTGTATTGGTAAATGCAAAAAACAGGCAAATGACTTCCAGGTGTGTTAATAGAAACCAAGAGGGAGGCTACAGAAATGATTAGCACACGTGGGATGTAAGAGAACGAAGGGTGAGAATATACCCAGTATAGTCTGTCTATCTCTCCAAGCTAGCAGGTAACACAAATGAAATCAGGGCTACTGTGTGTCAGAAACAATGCAAATGATTCAAGAAGGGCAATAATTTATAGAAAAAAAAAAATAAGCTGGCCACATTTAAAGTACAGTTCAAAGAAGGCAGAACATTTAACTCAATATAGAAGGATATATACAAAGAAAATTAATGGGTGTTTATATTATCAACCTGTAGGTAGGGGTGCCCTAAGGGGTCGCAAAATAAATGTGAGACAACACAAGATTGATTTACAGGATGAAAAGCAGTAAAAAAAACTAACATTTGTGCTTCACAAAAGTATATTTACTTTTTCAGACATTGTACTAGGACATTAAAAGTTATAAATAAAATAGAAAATGTAGACATAAGCTACAGATATATGCAACAGTATATCAGAAACACTGTGGACGCCTTTATGAAAAATTAGTAAAGTCTCCTTGATTGTTGTAGGTTTAAAACTTTTATGAGGTTTTTATTTTTTATGTCTTCAAAAGATAACGATATCTTAATGTGCGTCAGTGGGAACAAATACAACTGAGTGACCAGGAAAACTGCTCAGCAAGCATGTGGGCTGAGAAAAAATTGGTCATGGCCTTCATCTGTCATCAGCCGCTACTTAGACTGCTGCACTTCCGTGTATCACAAACAATATCTCTGCCTGAAGAATGAAAAATGGATTCTTTGTAGCTCTGTGCTACTTTGATTTGAAAAACTACAGTAATAACATATCAGACTTTGCTTTGGGGTTGTATCCATTGTTGGGCTTGATGGTAAGCCTTGAGTGGCTTTGGTTTATTTTAAATGATTGCTACAAAAACAACACTTGGCAGCTTGCCAGTGGTGGCCGCAAGTTATGTCGGTCCCCAACGTAGTATTTTTTATGATGAGCTACACAAGCACAAACACACACACATACACATGCTCTGGGCTACACGGAACCATAGACAAACACAGTCAGTCAGTCAAAGTGAAAAATCAAATGAACAATTTACTAGCTATATTTGAAATGTTTATGCCACTCATGTGTCAGTAGCGGAGAAACAATACTGTATATCACATCAGACCACAATTGGAAAGGGTGGAGGGGGTTATGTAAGAGCACACACTGTACTGTAGGTGTTTACTAATGTGACTGTTCTGCCCAGCAGCTTGTCTACTTTTCACCAAAAACACACTCAGCAGCGACCCACCTAAGAAATTATAACAGACCGACACAGCAGCCACACTGGCATTAAAAGCCAGTCCTGGCTTTTGATGTTCTCAGTAGATGGAATAACCAGCCAATTCAGTTAATTCAGCTAATTTGGAAAACAATCACACTGCATCAACATCCCACTTTTTGACCGCTATTATAAACAGGTTGTTCAATATGAGGCTTTAAATTACATTTAAAGATGTTGGGGGTTCTCCTAAATCACTTTTATAGTACAATAATTGAATTTGTACTTATTCTGATGTATCTATGCTGTTATATGTTGCTGTGTTACTCCATCACACCATGTATAAATGGAGTGTGGGCTGCTAATGTTACTCTTCCAGAAAACACCAGATCAAAAAGAGGCTGCTGTTTTGCCAAGCTTTCAATTGAGGTTGAGAGAAAACTTATGGATACAGTCTTTGTAATCCCCACTTATACATTCCTCCTACATAGTTCTGAAAATAGCATCACAAATAACATCTTCTCAGAGAGGCTAAAAGGACCGACTAAGGGGTGGAGTAGGGGGTGAGAAGGGAAAGAAAGTAAAAGAACGCAGGAAACATCAACTGCTAATTTGCATGCCTCAGTTGTCAAGCACCTCTAAATATCCCTGCCATTTAAGAGACAAGGAGTATGAGGTGGGAAGAGAGAAATTGCATCCTCTGATGCTGACAGATAAGGATAGACAGCTTAACAAACGAGATTCAAATCAGCATCCCTTGGTGGCCCAAACATAGCCCTAAATAAATGAACCATGGCATCTTTAATATTCAAGACTGAACCTCATTTTTCAAACATGTGCAGAAGTGGGCGGTAGGGTGGGCATCTGGTTATGATAATACGCTAACATACTACAAAACGCATTTCAAGGCATCTGCTGAAGGTTACAAGGCAGCAGGGTGCTGCAAGGTGTCTGCTAAGTTGTGTTTTAGGCCAGTGCAGGTAGTAGGAAGCACTTCAAATAGTGGCTGCCTTGTCAGCTGCTTAATTGTTCCTGTTGTGCTAAATAAACAATTCTGACATGCTGGAAGATGGTACGTGGAGGCAGGGGGCTTTACACTAATTAATGGCCAACAACAACCGTGTGCCTTGGCCACCGAGGACACTGTCAGAGGTGCTACAGAAAAAGCACTTCTGACATCTTGGTGGGCTGTTTAAAGCTGCAGCATGAAGCTTTTTTTCAACATTTCAAAAGAGTATTTTAGGCATGTAAGTCCAGAGGGGGAGGTGTGTCAGAGGGCCAATTTGAAGAACCAAAGGGAAAAAAACAAGGGCCAAAGCTTGTAACCATTACAGTTTATTATTGGACAACCTTTCACTGTATAACCTGTCTACTGAATATGACCTATGGGTACTTTCACAAATACTTTTTGCCTTAAACGACCATACCAGTGATTTTTCACTTAACAGCAGAGCTAAACTTAATTTTTTTTTAATTATGCTTCTATGTTTTTAGATATGTTAATGTTTTACTTTCATAGTTTCAGCCATTCATCTGTTTCAATTCACTTCCATATGTTCTTAAAATTAATAAGCATATACTTGATACTTGCTTACGCTATGTAACAGTAAACATTTGTCAAAGTAAAATTTTTGTTATGCCCTAATCAGTTTTTAAAGCAAAATAAATAAAATCAATGCAGACTTACTCTAAGGAGACAAATGCAACTGCAGTGTGAACACACTGGTATCGCACTTTAACTTGTACTTGCAATGTGGGTTTTGAGTATTGAGTATTACATTGTGATCACAGAATAAATATTTCATGAATGCCAGAAAACTGAATATGACAAACAACTACACACGTTGTCGCCTTCCTTTTGGTAAACAAAGCTTTGTGTTGATATTTTTTAAATGCAGATGTCTGCATTCAGTGTGCTTCTTCAATACCTGGGATGGCTTTATGGAAGGTACTAAGGTAGATAAGTCTTTTTATGAAAGACAGATCATCAAGATGAGTGCCAAGTGTTGGAGTTCCAACTGAGGGGCAGGAGGAAAGGATTACCAGTACACTTCCTTCAGACAGAACACTTACATTGAAGCTTTTAGTGAAATGCATATTGTCTTGTTACAGTTCTGCACCACATTATGAGAACAGTAGCAGATAAACTCTCAATAAAGAAACAGACATTATGATAATAGCACATCAGACATGGTGGGAGTAATATATAATTGTTAGTCTGAGCTGCACTTAATGCATTTACTCCAAATGTTAAAATGTATCACTTTTTTCATCACAAATGAGTCTGTGCATTTACACACAGATACAAAGGTACTATGACCACCCATTTGTCTGCTGGACTGATAAAAAGACCAACAGTCTAACAGCAGACAGTGTTCCAACAGTTGTAGTAAAAGTAAAATATCCAACATGCAGTGTGTCAGTACCAGTCAGTCAGCGGCACTATGGAAATGTTTGGAGGCACGTGTGTAGCTCAGTCTCTCATTCAGCCAAGCTTAGAAGTACACATCTTTCCAATCACCCAAGCAATATACTGCCTGGAAAGTGGAAATAGTACAATAATCTCATTCTAGACCAGGAATAAATCACTGCTTAAATTGTATGATATTCTGCACTGTCAAACACCTCTGCAGGACAATATTAATTGATTATTGGAGAGTCAAATGACTATAAATAAAGCTATTGTTCAGTGGACATTTAGTTTTTTTTTTATTTTTGTCACAGTTGTTTAAACCACCTAGTAATGCAATTACTTGCAATACTTGTCAAAATAAACTGCTTTCTGGATTCTACCACATTTTAGTTTTGAGGTGCCTGCTTAACAGTAACTTTAAACAAGTAAACAATAGTAAACAATATTTTTATAATATCCATGTTTCTTTACTCTTTCTTTGTGGAGAGTCTGACAATATAAATAAAGGGGTAGATCCATTCCATACCACACAGTATTTAGGCCAGGACACTAGATTCAAAAACCAAAAAAAATTAATTTGTGTCTGCACACTTGATTTTAGCTCCAAAAAATGTCTCCATCAGGCCTCATGTAGGTTCAAAATGTTGCAATTTCCAGTAAAATATATTTCCCCCCTCTTGTCTGACAATATAATGCCAAATGGTATTTTATGTATGCAGCTGCTACAGCTGTATGCTCAAAATAAAATAAAAAACACATGATGTTTAATAAATGGGTTATCTTTATTAACATGGGGATGGTGTGCCAAAACTGTCCAGTAATACATTGACTCTACACAAGAATTAAATGGTATAATGGGTTTCTTTTTTATTCGTGCTTTTTAAATATAGGTTAATCAGGAATGCAAAAATAATTATTTTCCCAGGTGCAGGATTTGTGGCTGTAAAATTAGCTTTCCAACAGCATAAAGCAAGTACTAAGCACTACAATGCTGAAGGCCTTTAAAGGCATTTAATTCAATGACAAATATGAAAAGATAAGGTTAAAATTGTCAAAGTGCATCTTTGAAGTTTCATCCAGTGTCATGTACCTCTTATATTTCAAAATTTTTCAATGGCCAGTAACATATTTGGCCCGTGGCACCGAAAGGGGGCTGGTTTTCAGCCTTTGGCCATCCATGTCAAAAAGTCGGAGCGGCCAATCCCAGATTAAAGTTGTCAGACAATGACACACT